GTCTGTCCTGTGAGTATCAGATTTTCCAAACCCTCTTTCCTCATTATGTGCCCTAGAGATTTCAGCTGTATGTTCATGATGTTAAGCGTAAGTGTCGTTTTGGTTTCCATTCTCTCTAAAAGTCCGTCGTTGCTCAGATGTTCGCTCCATGGTATTCTTAGTATCCTTCTGTAGAACCACATTTCTGTTGCTGCCAGTCTATTCTTTTAAAGAAGCTATCAGCTGAATTTGCTTTACTGACGCTTAAAAAATCCAAGATTCTTTGATATTTTGTTTCCTCTATTCTAACCAAGTCACGATGGTTCTCGCTAAATTAAGCAGACCCATGCTGGGTCCCGTATGCATAACATGTGCATTAATTCTACTCGTTTGTTAATGAAAGCGGACACGGCAGAATATCCAGTACAGCATGCACTATTTATCGAGCCCATTGCTTAACCTTAATGCTCAAATAATTAAAAAAATATCCCCGTTTTAAACAAAACAATTGCCAATAATATTATATAATCTTGTCCTTCCCTTACACCGCAAGGTCGTTACACTCTGCTAATACCTCATAAATAATGGACTATTCCGTGTTGATCCCACGGAAAGTGGTGAAAATACAAAAAAAAAAAAAAACTACTTGCTTTCAATGAGAAAATGAAAGTAAGACAGAACGAGAAAAAAAAAAGGAAGATAGAATTGTTTAACATCTCGCAATACTTATTAAATAACGGACTATTCCGTTTTGATTGCGGAGAAAAACAAGACACCCCCTACTTGGTTTCAGTGAGAAAATGAATGAAAGAAAGAAGGGAAGATAGACGTGGAGAGAAAGAGAATCAGATTTAGCTGAGAAATGATGGAGACTGCGAAAAAAAAATGCCTTTTTTCAGAGGCACAGTATCAAATGATGAAAACGGAGTAAGGTAAAAAAAAAACAAAAAACTACCATTAATAAAATAACATCTGAATTATTTGAAAATTATTAACGGAAAAGATAAGGAGTTGGATAGAAATAAATAAATAAAAAGAAAGAAAGAAAGAAAGAAAGAAAGAAGAGTTGATAAAAGTCGACTGACCTAAAAAATAATGAACTATTCTATTTTGATTACGTAGAAAAACGACATCAGTGAGAAAATGACAGAATGAAAATAAGAGATAAAATTCTTTAATGGATGCTTCAGTGAAATGGAAAAAGTTGCCAATTAAAAAAGTCTTTTCATTTGTACCCCCTTACTTCTTAAAATAATGACCAGCATTCATATTTATGATTGTTACTGCAATATTTTGTTATAAATCTTCAACAATGCGATAGGGGAATTACTACGGATAATTTATTGTCATAGAACTCGACATGAGCTTATTCAGTCATTAATGGAAGAGTTAAGATACATCATAAAATTCAAAGAGGAAAACCGTGAAATTTCAAGGGTTTTTCTAGTTTATATAATTTTTGGCAGTAAAAAGAATTCGTAGTAAAAGAAGACATGAAAAAAGAGCTAAATATGGATTGTAAGAAGGCAGAAGATATGGTTGCCAGCAAAAGAAAAAAAAGCCCAAGATTCATGGAGCCAAGGCATTAGGGGGAAAAAAACTCGTCAGAGCAATTGCCATGAAAATATTTGTAGAAAAGACTGAGGGAAGTCACATCACCGTTTGTTTTGTTTTACGGCATATCAATCTCAATGGGTTATTTAATTCCGACAGGATTTTTATTTCTGGTATTTTTTTCAAAAATGTATTGCTGGTAATATTTTTTCTTTAAAAATTTATTGTTGGTAATTTTTTTACAAAAATATTTATATTTTCATATTGTTTTGACCCCAGTTTGGGGGTTAACTATTTGTCCATAGCTGGGACCCTAACAGGTGCTACCATACCGGGTCAGGGTGGACCTGGGAACCCCAGCAATTAAGAGGTGGTTCCATGCCCCTCAAAACCTCCTGATCAGAGGCCTTGCTGTTGAATGTAGTTTATCGTCTTACCCAGGATGAGTCACATCACATGTGTGAGAAAGTGACTAGAGTCGAGATGCCAGGTCAGGACCTATCACATTGCATATCGGTCTTTGGATTTTCTCGAGAACCTCGAGATGAACAGCGGGGGCAACAGACCATATATAGCAACAGTATTCCATGCATGGACGAATGGTAGATTTGTAGATTTGAAGGATGGACTCAGACAAGAAAATCCTTCTGGCGTGACACTGAGAACCAAATTTCCTTGCGGTAGATGAAGCTATTGATTCAATGTAATTGTTTCATCTCAGGTCAGTGGAAAACGTGAGACCAAGGAGACGCAGAGAGACGCTCTTGTAGAGCTGAACATCACACATGCTTAATAGGAGGCAGGGTTAGTTATGGTGGCTAAATGAGAACAGTTTCGTTTTGGAGGCATTAAAATTTAGAAGCCATTTCCTGCCCTAGTCAAAGACAGATAATTTTTTTTGCTTAAACTCCTCTTCCTGTACAATTAATGAAGTTGGTTAGTACTTTAGATGGGTGACCACTTGGTAATATCAGGTGCGCTGTAAGTGGTTGGCAATCGTTAATCCAATCAGGTTCGTTACATTCATTTACGCGCAAATCCCCCTTTGGTAAAAGCATGAATTCAATATTTCTCCTACCAGCTACCCATTAAGTTCGTCGGACTTGTATAAGTAAATCATTATTATCTAGAAAAACTCTTACAATATAAAAATATTTTCTGGCTTTAAATAATCTGCAAAAAGTTGATAAGCCGTAAAATAAAAATAATCTGTCACTCATTATATATATATATATATATATATATATATATATATATATATATATATATATATATATATACAGTGCTGTTTGATAAAAGTGACTCACCTGATTTTTTTTGCTAAATGTTCTCTTCCCCGATGAAACGAAAGTTGAGCTAAATTCTAAGGATAAGCGATCTAAAATCCGAAGAAGAAGCTTTGAAAGCTCTTTGAATTTAGCAGTAAATACTGTCAAGCATCCGTTCAGTATAATGTTCTGGGGATGCTTTTCTTTTCATGGAACTGGTTTCTTAAAACCTATAAAAAAAGACCCTCAGGAGCGAGCAGTGCAAGAGAATTTTAGAGGTACAATTCCAATATTCGTAACATTTAATTTAAAAGAGAGCTCAATACAAAGTAGAGCAATATTATTTATTTTAGGATATTACAACGAAAACCTGTCAAAATCGCTACACAATTGCACACAGCTCGGATATGCAGAACTTTTAGACATATTTTTTTAATACTTTGGAAATAAATTTGTGAATAATTGCGAAATCCTACGAAAGCCGCCCATGAAATAAAAATAATTGTTTGTACGGAAAATAAGGACCTACGTACATCAAACCGACTTTAAATTAAGTGGCAACAGAAGAATTATCGAAGAGCTTTTAAAAGATAAGCTTAATCATTAATGTAACAATTAAATGCAGCGATCAATTTTGAGTTGTGTAGTTTATTGTTGCCTATCGAATCTACTCCTTCCTATCTATTGTGACGAAAGGTTCAATCAAGAACCTTCCGCAGCAGTTAGCTTAAGTGACGCCTGATGAGTAAATGCTCTGTTTATAATAAACAGTATTAAATGAATGTTCGAGATTTCGCCACAGTAAAAAAACAGTAAAATCGACCTTGCCAACTGAAATGCTCCTCTTTGGCGAAATCGGTAAAACACTCCAGGCGTGACGATTCCGTATAGGATACAGGTTCGATTCCTGTTGGAAGACGCATATTTTCTATGACAATTTCTTGGACATTCAAGCCGGTAAATGTTGTTAATACTGTTTATTATAAACAGAGCATTTACTTAAATATTTGTATGTATAAACATAAAAATGTCTTAAAATAATGGTCGGATTTTGTCCATTATATATATTTATATTTTAGCATTCTTCTATGTGCCATGTCTTTATGAAACGTTGGTGATCATCGTCCTTCACCACTTCCTATTCTTGGTCGCTATTATCAGTGTTTGTCTTTTTACTATGCCTTCCAACTAGAAATTCTGACCAGTCACATAAGCTGATCAGGTGCCTGACCCGCTGCCTCCTTCTCATGAACCTTCGAGGTCTTCGATTGTCCTGTTAATGTCAAATTCAACCAGACTGAATTCCTCTTTATGTGTTTAAAAGATTTCAGCGTTTTTTAATTCTGAATAAAACTGATTTTTTGTTTTCATTTTCCTTAAAACCTTTCTCGCCTTGTACCAACATATAAATAACTTTTAAGCTGTTTAATGCTTTGTAAATTCATGTTACAGTCATTTGATGCGTGAGAAATATAGACTCTGTCAGTAAACGATATCCATAAATCACATATATATATATATAATTATTTATATATATATATATATATATATATATATATATATATATATATATATGTGTGTGTGTGTGTGTGTATGTGTGTGTGCGTGTGTGTGTGCGCAGTTTGGGTTGTCTATGTATATGTATAACAATATAACTATAAATATGTCCTATTATATGTGCTTGTGTATGAATTCTTAATATGTACGTAAATATATATATTTGTGTGTATTTTGTATAAATATTTTTGTCATGCACAAATGCATACGGTTCAGCATACACTCCTGCACACACTCACACAAACACACACACACTTACAAACACACACACACTCACATATATATATATATTCATATATACATATATATCTATATTTATATGTATATATACAAAGTTATATTCACGAATGCATATGTCCTCACTGATACATACATACATACATACATATATATATATATATATATATATATATATATGCATAGGAAACCGATTTCTTATGCTGTTTTCATGATAACTGCTGGCAGATGTAAGAGATAATTAAATTATTAAAATAAAAGCAAAGAAAAGAAAAAGGAAAAACAGATTGTGGCCCATTGAAAAATGGCGGAAAATGAAAACGAAAAGAAAGGATAATGGATAAGTATATTAAAAGATATGTATGTTGATGAGGTTCATGCAGTCATGGAATTAGGCAGAGAGACAGAAAAAAAAGGACAGATAGATAGATAGATAGATAGATAGATAGATAGATAGATAGATAGACAGACAGAGGAGAGAGAGATAAAAATAGACTCACATAGATTGATAGATTGATATGAAAAAAAATTGGAGATAGATGAGATAGATAAATATAAAGAGAGATAGATATGAAGAGACATCGACACACACATTCACTGGCGCGCGCACACCCAAACGAACAAATACATACACACACACACATACATAGATAGATATTAAGAATTATATACAGAGGGATATCTAAAATACATGAGTAGAAATTATATGCATAGGGAAATATGATCAACTTTATATTGATTAGACAGATGGATAGATTAATATGAGTAAAGATATATATATATATATATTTGAACTGAATGTCATAGATAGATGGATAAATAAATAGAAGTGAAGTGATAGATAGATAGATAGATAGATAGATAGATAGATAGATAGATAGGAACATATTGAAATAGAATGTAATAGACAAGAACAGATGAGTAATTGATAGAGAGATATGATGGCTTGATAGATAATGGATAGGAACTGTGAGAGATAATATGACACATAGATAGATAGATAGATAGATAGATAGATAGATAGATATGAAAAGATTGGAATAGATAGACATGAAAGAAATGTGGTCGATAGTTATCTATCTATCTATCTATCTATCTATCTATCTATCTATCTATCTATCTTAGTCCGTCCCTTCCCATCTATCTAGAGCTAGTGAGCTAGCTACCTAGCTAGCTAGCTATGAATAGTAACTTCTAGTTGTCTAAAATTAAGAGATAAATATAAGTGAAATGGTTAAATGTGTGTAAGGAATCAATGAGAAAGAAAGAGAAATTTGCCCGAGAGGAATATGTATTTAAGTAGTAAGAGAGGAGGAGGGTGATGAGTGAAAGTAAGAAACAAAGAAAGGAATTACAGTGAGGAGAGACCGTATGGCAAAAGGAAAAGAGGAAAAATGGAAAGGAGTATCTCAAATGGAAAAGTGTGAAAAAAAAGAATGAGAAAGAAATGAGGAGGGAAAAGAAAAGAGGAAAAAAGAGAGAGAGAGAGAGAGAGAGAGAGAGAGAGAGAGAGAGAATGCAGAAGTAAAATCAAATGGAAAAGAAAAAGATAAAAAATGCTGAAAAGGCAGAAAAAACTTTAAAAAAAAAGAAAAAAAAGGAACGGATATAATTAATAAAGAATAAAAAATATATCTTTGGAAGAAAATATGAAGTGAAAGCGAGAATCTTGGAATCCAAAAGAAAATTATATAAATGGAAAACGAAAAAATTAAGAGAATTCTAATGAAAACTATGGACGAAAAAGGTGAAAACGGTTAAAAGAAAATATCTTAAAAACTGATCTGTAATTAAAAGAAAAACAAATTACGAACATGTTTAGAAACATAAAAATAAGACAGACATGGAGAGACGTGATCAGCTTCACCCCCCTAGTGAATTCGATACTAAATCACTGTTTTAACATTTAATCAGTATTATTCTCACTGGATGTCTTATTGTGGCCAAATGACCGTTTTTGGCGAGTGTAGGGATAGATAACTAGCTAGCTAGATAGATAGATGAACAAAGATAGATAGACATGAACAGATTGAGATAAGTGGGAATGAAAAGATTGATACGGATCATTATGAACAGAATGAGATAGATAGACAGACAGGAAGACAAACAGGAAGACAGACAGATAGCTAGATAGGCAGACATATAGATAATGAACTGTGATAGATAGAAACAGGAACAAATTGTCATATATATATATATATATATATATATATATATATATATATACAGAGATAGATAGATATGAAAAGACAAGATTATATATGTATATATATTATAGTAAATATATATAATATATATATATATATATATATATATATATATATATATATAGTTAGTTAGATGGCAAGCAGTACAGTATGCCGTTTCCAAATCTTTGGCGTAGTGAATTGTGTCATGGTGACCTCTTTTTCTCACAGACGGTGCCCAACTGACCCTACTATACTGTGCAGTCAACAAAATCAGAAACAAACAACGTGCACGTGAAATTAAAAATATCATATGGTGACAACTTATCCATCGTATCTAGAGTATATAAAAGTCTTTTGCAAATTAGGGGTCGGTTTCTTCACACCAAAAAAAAAAAAAAAAAGAAAAGATGAAAGTCCATATATACATACGTACACGGATCCTTTGTTTTTGACTTATTAAATTTAAAGTTTGCGATAGACGTTGTTAAATGTACAACTCAAGATACAATCCTAAAATACATTTACAAAATTTGAAGGCGGGTTCCTCACATCAAAAGAATTTAAAATGTCCATATAAAAATATGTCCATAAAATGCCATCGTTGTACCTCAAAACAGCGACTCCTAACAAATGTTCAAAATGTCCTCCGCTTGATTCACGCACCCGTCGGATCATTGACAGGCGTAACCTTTCAAATACTTCTACACGGTGTCAAATGGTTTCGCAGGCCCCCATAACACTTTGATGAAGCATCTATGTATTATTAATGTCTGCTGCATAAACCAATTGTTTTAGGTGGCCGCACAGATAAAAATCCAAACGAATTGAGGTCGAGGGGGCCATGGAATCGCTCCCCCTACCTATCCATCTTTCATCGTAGATGTCAGTCAGTTTATCGCGAACAATGTGACTAAAATGTGCTGGGGACCCATCATGCATGAACCACATGCGTCTTCGTATTAGCAGTGATAGATCCTCTAGCAGGTTTGGAAGTGTGTTCGAAATAAGGTCCCTGTACTCAGCTCCTGTAAGACGTGCTGGGGAGCATATAGACCTAACAGACAGTCACCTACAATTCCAACCTACTCATTAATCGTAAATTGATGCTGGTGTCTAGCCTGTATTGTATCATGGAGATTCCGAACCTCCCACAAATTTGTGCAAATTTGTTATCCCCTCTTTTTCAAATGTTACCTCATTCGTAAACAAAAGTGAAGTGACAATGGATCAGCAGTTTGTGCAATAAACAAAGACCCTACACACGTTGCAATGATATGAGTACAGGTACTGCACTTGAAGTACCCTCCATGTGGTACTATGATATGAACAACATACTACGGACACTTGACGTGTGTTGATACATGGATCATCTCCGACAGTCGGTAGAATATGTTCTTCGTGGTGAGGCGTACGAGCGGATCTAAGTGTTCTTTGATCCATAGTTTGTAATGCCCTCGTCTCAGCAACGCGATGATAAACAGCAACAATGGTTGGATGACTCGGCTGGATTCTCTCTGCAAACGCAAACTGATACAGCCGTGTAGCCTCGCGCCCATTACCATTCGCGCGGCCGTATGTAACAACCATGTCTGTCTGCTCACAATACATCCTGCCGTTGTTAAACGGGACACTTCTCGCAAATGTACGTGAATGCAACACAACGCCATTTACTGCAAACTTTCTTTAGACTTAACTAAAAAAGGAAGGATTTGCGGACTTATATTTATAGTGACTTTTGTCTTTGTTTTTTGTGAGGAACCCTTCCCAAAGTTTCTAAAAGTATTTTTGACACACACACACACACACACACACACACACACACACACACACACACACACACACACATATATATATATGTATATATATAAACTAAAATACAGTGTTATGTTCTTGGTTCTTTCTTTTTTTATTTCCAATTTTTTCTCGGATATCAATTTGTTATATTACATGATGATCCAACCGAGGTTTTTAAAACGATAATTTTAGCTTTAGTTCGCCGTATTGAGCACTTTTTCAAGATATCCGATTTTAGTTTTTGCTTTACTTAGTGTACTGAGCACTTTACGTTTAGTCTTTTAATCGTTTTTTTTTCTTTGGACTTTGAGCTTAAGCACTTGATAAGAGGATTCGTACACTGTTAGGTTCTTGGTTCTTTCTTTTTTTTATTTCCAATTTTTCCTCAGACATAAATTTGTTATATTACAAGTTGAGCCAACCGAGGTTTTTCAAAACGACCATTATATATATATATATATATATATATATATATATATATATATATATATATATATAAATAATTAAAGAGACAACCTTAAGTTTCCATGACTATAATTTATTTCCCCAGAAAAAATATTTTTCCAGGTTCATCAAGTCACACCTATAGTTAGAAAAGGAATTTGGTTTCTTTTAATTTTAATACAAGTTTTTGTGGGATAGTTTTAGATTGATATAAGGTGACAGACGGTGTTGGGGGGGACTATAGAATGGTCTATCTTGGAAATGGAAAGTAGGGATAAGGTTGTTTTTAAACAATTTATAATAATTTACGTAGGTTCATATATATATATATATATATATATATATATATATATATATATATATATATATATATATGACATCCCACATTATGAAATGGACAAAGTCCGACAATTATTTTTTAAGATATTTTTTTCATGTTTATACGTTCTTTTTATAAATACAAATATTTAAGTAAACGCTCTGTTTATAATAAACAGTATTAAACAACATTTACCGGCCTGAATGCCCGAGAAATTTTCATAAAAATATGCGTCCTCCGACAGGAATCGAACATGTATCCTATACGGAACTGTCATATAGCCTGACGTGCCTTCACCGATTGGGCCACAGAGGAGCGTTCGGTTAGCAAGGTCAAATGCTTAAATGTTTGTATCTATAAAAAGAACGTATAAACATAAAAAAAATATATTATATATATATATATATATATATATATATATATAATACGGTATTCCCATAGCATTTTAAAAACACATTTGAAGAAGTAGTTTTACCTCTGGCTTGTTTCACTAAAAACAGATTATGGCCCAGGCTGCCCCAAGATTAGTGAGAAAGAGAGACAGAAAGAAAACTGTTAAAGAAAACGAAATGAACATTCGAGAAAACTAAATGAAAAAGCAGACGATAAAATCAGCGAAGACAGAATAGTTTTTATTGATTCTGTCTCAGGCTTCACCAACTCGAAAAACGCAGCACGTCCCAACTGCAAACGGCACGCCATCTTGAAGATTGATAAGCGACGGTTCTAATTGGAGCACTCGGGTCGCGATTATAATCAACACAGTATGTAAAATAGGCGGTCCGCCTCCACCCAAGAAACTTTTATCTGATTTGAGAGGACATGAAATTTTTCGTTATATTTAATTTCTTCACGTTTTTCTTGATAAAATTAAAGAACACATACCATACATGTCAATAGAGAAAACAATCTAAGCTCCATTTTATTTACTTCTTCTATGTACCGTGTCTCTTCAGGACGTGGGCGTTCACGTCTCTCCACAATGTCCTTTCATTTTTAGCTCTTAGTAAATTTTGAATTTTTTTTTAGCTCTCCTAAACCTTGTTCCGCTATTCATTTACTAATTTGCACGATGCTTTCTTTTTCTCTTTCTCTCTCTTGCTTGTCCTGTGAGTATCAGATTTTCCCAGCCCTCTTTTCTCGTTATGTGCAGTCGAAATTTCGTCGTGGCTCACATACTTGACCCAGGGTACTCTCAGCATCCTTCTATAGAGACAAGTTTCTGTTGCTTCAATTATCTTCTTCATCTGTAAGTAGATTGTCCAGCCTCTATTGAAGACTGATATTGCGTAACAGTTCAGTACTC